AGCCGGAGAACCCGGAGAGAACCCACGCTGCACGGGGAGAACATGGAGACTCCACGCAGAAAGATCCCGGGTGTCCTCACCGGGACACGAACCGGCGACCTTCTTGGTGCGAGGCAGCGGCGCTAACCACTGCAGTCCATGGCAAAAACAACCTAACAAAAAACCATGTGTAATCTCTGCTCTGTGATTGGGCGCTCAGCACTTTCCAGCACAGTCCAGGTCGTTTGTGCTCAATGATCTTCATCAGACAAGCGTTACAGTAGAACTCCGCCTCGACAGCCTGACCCGGCGCAATTTGACGCTCAACCACATGAATGTTGGAAAGGAAACAACATGCATGCTTCTGGTGTGTTCCTGACCTCATACATCTTGTCCAGTTTTGGAAACTGCAGCTCTTCCACTGTGAAAGCTGTTGTTTCTTCTCCCAGATTTAGCTCCAGACCCCTCATCACCATGACGATCCTTTACATGGAGGCTGGATCACAGCTGTTGACTGACAGAGAGAGAGAGAGATGTTTTCTTCTCTGCTCCAGTTTAGGCTTCATGGAGAAATAGCAAATGCACACCTTCTAGTGGTCACAATATTGTCTGCACACTGTTGATAGCATCACATCATATCACAACGACGGGTGCTGCTCACACCTGCTCCGTGCACAGTCTCGGGACATTTTGATCAACCCTCGTAGCTTTGTTATCGTCCTCTTTTTGTATAAAAGACCTATTTGTATTTTTGCTCATTATCTTGTTCATTTGATCTCTTTTGTCAAATTTGACAAGAACATAACTCAGAATGCATGTACAATGTTTCTTTAAAAATTTAGACTACTGCTAATGAAACTACTAATATTTTACTATTTGATTCCCAGAGAATCTGGTAATAACATCTGGAACCTATGATGCAGTTGACAGCATAAGTTTGAGAACATCTGGGTAAATGACACATTCTGTTGTGAAGTGTGGAGTGAAAAACTGTTGGTTTTCTTTCTATCTGAGGACGTTTGTGATGGATATTGAAGTCCGATCCGGATAATTGTTCTGTTGTAGAAACCTGCCTTGTTCCACTTCTACTGTCTTAAATGATTGTATGATATTTGCATCCATAACTTCCTGATGTTTAGTGGAATCCATTCTTCCTTCTATTCATTTAATATTTCCTGTGCCAATAGCTGCCACACAACCCTAAAGCTGAATATTTTTTACTTTTGCGATCAACTGTGTGATTAACTTTGGGTTCTTCTCAATAAACACTGCTCCTGTTTTTTTTTCTCCAATCATACCTTTGGTGACGGAGACAAAAGAACTCCTGTTTTAGTTCATCTATCGAGGGTATTTGCTTGTAAAATGGACTCTGACGGCAGATGTTGCTGTCCAGATGTTAGACAGTGATGAGGTTGTAGGTTTCCTTCTGATGATTTGAATCTAATATAGACCCTCAATATATATAAAAAAATGATATTGTTTTCGCTAGACAGGCACTCTGGTCAGACAGCTGAAAACAAAGGGTGATGAAAAAGAGAAAACTGTTGACCAAATCCCTTTGGGGGATGCATCAGTGGGAGGTAGAGGAGGTGGCTGACATCAGGAAATCCTAGTAGTGGCTAAAAAAGGCTGGCCTGATGACAAACACTGAGGCTCTGAACACTATCTGAACAGGTCCACTCCTGGACTGCAGGCGTGAGCGCTGAGCAGCCCTTTAATTAATGACAATTGCAAGATATGTAGACATGCTCTATGCAGACAACTATACTGACATATTTAATGTAGAAAGTGACTGGCTGTATACCTTAAGTCCTTAATTAGGGCGGCTGTGGCTCAGGTGGTAGAGCGGGTTGTCCTCCTTGGTGGTTCGATCCCCTGCTCCTCCACAGTCCCAGTGTCTTTGGACAAGACGCTGAACCTGAAGTTGCTCCCAATGGCAGGCAGCACCTTGCATGGCCGCTCTGTCACCATTGGTGTGTGAATGGGTGAATGAGAAACACATTGTAAAGCGCTTTGGATAAAAGCGCTGTATAAGTGCAGAACATTTACCATTTGGTTGGTAATAATTGATAGAGTGAGTCTTGAGTGGATATCACCAAAGTAAAACAATAAATGCTGCCAACATCAACAGCATTGTGTTGACTATGAAGGCCTTCAGGTTTCTAGACTCTTAAAAACTCCAAGTTCTGAGTTATTTTTGTCGAACACGGTTTCATGAACACATCAGATGACATATTATGACAAAATACACAATTATGGAAATATTTTTATTGAAAATAGTCTCTCTATATGACTCTGATTAATCATCTCTATCAGAAAAAAAGGTTTCTGTGCTTGATGAGATATCCTGGCAAGCTTGTCTGGACCTCAGCGGGTCATTTGAGAAAAGCTGACAGGACAAGTGCCTTGTATTGCTTAAAGCAGACAACAGGTGGAGACACAGCTTCAGGAATGGCCTTAACGCCGAGTGAAGACGGATGCTGTAATGTGAGGCCTCCAGCAGAATCCTTTATTCCACGCCTTTCATGAACTCCAGGAACTCTGTCAGAGAAAGCAAACAAGAACATGTGAATTTATCCAAACTGATGGATTCTCTTTTGTTGCTCAAGTTCATTGACAAACAAGAAAATAGTCGTTGGTATATTTCTGGAAGTTAATGACATGAATCACTGCATTTGGTTGTTTAGGTTGTAAGAGTTGTTTCTGCAAATTTAAGTTACAAATCCAAAATATGTGCTTTTGAACACAGCGTGTACGACACAAAGCTGGTGAATCTTATTTCCCGTCGTGCTGCTTACCATCGTAATCAATTTTGCCGTCATTGTTTTTGTCTCCATCCTTCATCAGCTCCTCAATGTCGTCTTCAGTGATGGCCTCTCCGGTGGACTCCAGCATACTCTTGAGCTCGTCTAGGTCTATGTAGCCGTCTCCATTCCTTCATACAAGATAAAGAAATCAGTCTTACACCCATGTGGGACGGCTGTTGAGTTGAACTCTTCTCCCACTAAGCTGATCGACACGCACTATGGTAAACCACAAAATCTCTTTCTAACGTGGTCTCTAACGTTGCATGGTTCACAGGATTTGATCAAAGTCACAAAGTGCATTCTATCTGATACATATAACTCTGCAGTATTCTCTCATAATAACATGGCGGCTCTGTATAGCACATGAACAGAAATACAAAGAAAAACCTACTTATCAAACATGCGGAAAAGTTCAGCCAACTCCTCCTCCGATTTTCCTTTGCTCTCCTCCTTCATGCAGCGCACCATCATAACCAAGAACTCATCGAAGTCTACCGTTCCACTGCCTGTGAACAAACAGCATGAACATATAAAGACTTTCCTCCTTATATCATACTATTAAACAAACATGCTTCTGATGGCTACAGAGAAGGGATCCAACAGTCTGAATGGTGCTGACATACCATCCTCATCTACCTCATCAATCATCTCCTGTAACTCTTCGGGGGTGGGATTCTGCCCCAGCATTCTCATCACCTTCCCCAACTCTTTGGTGCTGATGCAGCCGTCCTCGGCATCTTGAATGAAGATGTCAAATGCAGCCTTGAACTCTAGAAGAGATGCAGCAAGTGAGATAGATGTTGAAGTTACGTGTAATAACAAGCGTACAAATCCGTGTCAAAAATGTTTAAAAATAAGGACATAAAAGTGAGTTAAAGAGAAGGGCCGGCCAAGTCATTTTGGGACCACAGACATCATAATGAATTATATAGAGCATTGTTATACAGATCTTTAATTCCCCAGAAAGAAAGCACTTCAGTTTTATTCTAATTGCAAATAAAATATGGATTTTATTTTAATCAAATCCTGCTTTATTTGATCAATTTTACTGATCATGATTTATTTTTGGATACCTCATTTTGCATGTAGCCGGTAGGATACATCACTTTATCCTCTTCATAGGTGCAGACGCGAGTGCATTTGTTGAACGCCTTGGTTAAAAGTAGAGAATAGCCTATACCAGGGGTGTCCAATCCTGGTCCTCGAGGGCCACAGTCCTGCAAGTTTTAGATGTGTCCCTCTTCCAACACACCTGATTCAAATGATCAGGATCGTTATCAGGCTTCTGCGGAGCTTGATGATGAGCTGATCATTTGAATGAGGTGTGTTGGAAACATCTAAAACATGCAGGATTGCGGCCCTCGAGGACCAGGATTCGACACCCCTGGCCTATACTGTCTTGTGTTACATGTAACTGGTAGTTATTGCATCATGTCATAATGTCTGTGGCGTGAAAAGCTGTGGTGCAGGAGCTGGACCAGAGCAGGGTTTGAGCAGAGAAGGGGCAGCAAAGGGCTGGAGCAGTGAGGAGAAACATGAAAGCTAAGAGAACTGAGACTTCACCTCATACGTAGTAGATTGCAAGGTATGACATTGTACACTATTAGACCACCATACTTGGAACTGATATACATCCATTTCCAACCACTATCTTCCACGTATCCAGTGTCGGGTCGCATTGGCAGCAGGCTAAGCTGGACATTCCAGATGTCTCTCTCACAGCAATCTTTTCCAATTTTTCTGGGATGATCCCAAGACCTTCCCTGGCCAGATAAAACGTGTAATCCCCCCCAGCCAGTCCACCTGGACATGTCTAGAAAACCTCTGAAGGCATCTATAAGGCATCCAAATCAGATGTAAACCCCCTCAGCCGTCTCTTTTTGGCAGGAAGGAGCAGTGACTGCTCCTCATTTCTGTGGCCTGGATAGTCAGACTCTCATGAGCCCCTCAGCAACCCTGCAGGCTAAAGAGCTTTGGCATATAATATATTTTACACCACCCTGAAGTAACATTTCCTGGGAAGGCTGAGCGGTGTGATAGCCTGATTACTGGAGCACACCCTCCAGCCCCCGTTTTGAAAAGGGGACCCAAGACCAGGACCTATCACTCCACCGGTACTCTCCCCGCCCTCCACATGACCACACAACACTGAAAGACGTGTCCGCCAAGACAACCTGAAACTACCCAGTGCCTTCACTATCTCAGTGTGAAGCTCCTCTCCACCTTCACCCAGCCATGAGGAGCACGTTGACCACCTTAGTGCCCTCTGCCAGATATATGGGTGCTGCTTCCCCTGAGTCTTCCTGCTCCACAGAGAACAAGTGGGTCAAACTTAGGAGCTCTTCAAGATGCTCTGTCCACTGCTTGACAATGTGTATTCATGCACTTCTCCTCCCTGGCTGAACACAGCTAGGCCAAGCTTGCCTTCCCTTCCTGAGTTGTCGACTGGTTTGCCAGAACTTTCCCGAGGCAAACCAAACGTCCTTATCCACAGCCTCCCTAAATATCTCCCATGATCAACTCAACCACTACATCTGCAGCCCTTCTAGCTGCTTCAGGAGGTCCCCTGACGAACCAAACTCAACAGGCCTCCATCTTCAGCCTAACAGCATCTTTCATTGTTGCCGTCCTCCAGTGGGTTCTTGGGTTGCCGGCTACAGGCGCTGATGGCCTTCTGACCACAGCCCCTGACAGCTACCTCTGCAATGAAAGCTGTAAACATGACCCACTGCGATTCTATTAATCCATTTTCTACCCCAACTCAGATTCCATGCCGCCACAGGTCACCCTCACTTTACTTTAGAGTTTGCCAGGTCTGTCCAGCAGCCCTCCCCACTATCTGATTCCTCTTATTACCAAGCTGTGATCAGCAGCTCTGCTCCCCTCTTCCAGAATGTCCAACATATATCACTGCTGATAAGACCACGATGTGGATCATTAAACTTTGGCTGTAATACCAGGTACACTTATGAGCTACCTTGTGCTTGAACACGGTTCTTGTAATGACAAATTCATTCCTCGTCCAATTACAAAACACCACTGATCCAGATCCCACAGGCTGTTCCTGCCAATCAATGCAGGGGTGGGGCGTGAGGGACTGGGGAGAAAGAAGTCCGCCAGTCTGTCAGTGAAGTGGTGACAATCCAAGTGTTTCATGGTTATTTATTTCTGCATTTGTAGATAACCGTTATGAAACAACTTGCAGATTGGTCTGTCTGTCTCAAACTCCACTCTCTCACTCGCTGTGTTCATCTTGCTGTTTAGATTGGATATTATATCAATAAACGCGGTAGGAAATGTCTGCCGCTCATCCTAACATTAATCTTAATGTTGCAGAGCAGAGACCTTTCATGGTTTTCAGTTCAAACTGAGTATAGTTGTTGAACTCTGACAAGGTTCCTGGAAAAGTTTCTGATTTTTGGAGATATTTGTGCTGTCTTATAGCAAGATTATAAAATATTCATGAGGACTTCATGGATGTATCGCAAAAACTGGATAAGTCTCTCACTGATCTAACCTTTAAAAGGGACACATTTATCCATTCGGTCTATTTGCGTGCAGTCAGTAATACATTTCATTTAATTGTATTGTTTCAGTTATTCATAGCTTTGATAAAGACAAAGTCAAATCAGTAAAACATAATAATGTGCCTTTACAGCAGTCGTCATACTTGTATATGAGTTTTATCAGGAACGTAGATTTAAAAATGGCACCAACAGCTGTGCAGTTTTCTCACCATTTTTCTGCTCCTCTGTCAAGTTTTCAACCTGAAGGGAAACAAAATCACAATAATCATTATATCTAAATATATATGTCATTGTGTCTTTCACAGAAGTTCATTTATTTTTACCAGCAGCGCTTCAGTCCTCCAGTCTGTGTGACACTCGGTAGCGTATTTGGACTGCAACGTGACACTGCTTTTGTCACTTACTATTCTTGTTTGCTGGGGGTGGGGAGGTGAGGGGGTTACTTGTCCTCTCTCTCTCTTCTTCAGCCTGAACTGTCCAGCTGTTCTTTGTCCTATTGTCAGCCATATGACCTAATCAAAGCAGCCTCTTTGCGCTCTGTCTCGCCAAACACACCTTTTTTTTTTTTTTTTCCAGTTGAAGTCAAATACCTGCACTTCTGCTGTCAAATGTCATTTTTACAGAGAAACAAACAGCGCTGATTTACAGATGCAGGACTGCTGACAGAAGCAATATTTTCATTTTGGATATTTTATCAACTTAGGTTTTGTGAGATATTCTGTTTCAAAGCCATCTCCACACTAATGACAGAACATTTTACTATTTAAAAAAAAAAAAAGCAGTTTCCTTTAAATGTAAATATTCTAAAAGTATTGGAAACATCCCAAAAAAACACACAAGTATATTTCTGAACGTTGGAAGCACAACATAGAACACCAAGGACATGACCTCTGCGTCCTCAGTGGTAGCTATGGCCCTGACAGCAAGTGGAATTACAAATCACCTCATGCTTTAGATGTTGATTAAAACGATCTATTTCAATCTGTTTAACACAATAATTATGATGCATATGTCACCCCTAAGCCCAGAGTTAAAAGCATCCAAATGTGACACTCTCTTCTCCAATCTATAGCACTAGTTTTAGTTTATTACACATGAAATCACTACTGTTTGAATTCCTGATCCCGTCATCTAAAGCAATACAAAAACAATGATTTTAAAAGATCATCAAGTTGAATTAAAACGTCTCTGGCACAGCGTCGACAGTTCATGTTGTAGCATCACTGCAGGGCTGGCGTGTTGGGACCTTACTGTAACTTGCAGGTGCTTTTGTTCTGTTAAAACTGACTTTGAAATTGAAAGAGCAGAGCTCCTGTTAGCTGCCGTCCCAGTGACCTCTAAATGTGATCACACTCGGTGCTGCGGCATTAACACACATTCTGTTTGCTGTACGAATTTCCAAAATTAAATGTTTTAGAAGGACTCACCTGAAAGTGATGGAAAAACAAAACAGCATATCACACTTGGCCTTATCAGTACTCACCGCTGCTTTATATACGTCATCCATGGCTGCTGCTCTGTTCCTGCCGCTGACACACAGTACAAGTACTGACAGGAGTAACTGCCTCAGTCTTTATTGTTGGAAAATTGTGGCACCGTAAAACTTCCTGACCCATCCCACAAAATCCAAGGCTAATAGAGGGAGGAGTGACCGACACAGAGAGAGATTAAGTGCGAGAGCCGCCTATAAATAGCAAACAACAGAAGGCACCCAACAATAGAGGACACTGACAGCAGCATCCGGGCAGAGATGCTCTCTTTAGAGTTATAAACTGGTTCTATATTCTTAGATTGGACGTCATACTGATTGTAATGCCTCCCCTGTTGTCATTTTTATTTATTTGTTCTTTATTTATTCATCTCTGTCTCTATTGCCTTACAAAGGTCTCCCAGATAGTAGTTCCCTATTTGGTCCAAATAACCAGAATGTCATTTAACATTGTTTTATTGAGGGTCAGCACAGTAGTGCAGGGGCTAGCACTGCCACCTCGCTTCTTCTTGTGCCGTTCAGTGTGCCACAGAGTGATTAACCTTTCCCTCACTGCATGTTGGAGCTCTTCCAGGACTGCCATTTCTTCCATCCCTGCTCTGAATTGTTCCTGAGTTGAGCGTCCTTGGCCTGCCGTCGGCTCAGATGAGATCTACTGGTAGTCTTGGGAGACTGTTGATCCGTGATGATGGAGGGATGATGATGATGAAGGGATGCTGATGATGAAGGTGCTCATTGCCAGAGCTCTCTGGTTCACACTGATGCTGCTTCAAGGCTTGCATCCCTGTCCTATTCAAACTGGTGCCCCACAAGCTTTTTGTTGGCAGCAGGCCGCGAAACCCAACGACGCTCAGACAGCCTAGCAGACTGTAGCTTGTGATGCTTGACGGCTCTGGATCCTGTGGCCCAGCTCCTCCTCCTCCAGCTCACCAGGTGCTGTAGTAGCTACTGGTCCCTGTGCGATGCATCACTGGCTCCTTCCTTGAAGCAGCACATTTTGGTCTGGTGGCTCTTTTAGACCTCTTGGGTGTTTGCAGACCTTGCCACACCAGCAGCCTGCACTCATAGCCATTTTGTTAGCTTGGATCATTACCAGAGTATTCCCTGCAGCCATGCTCACAGCCCTGAGAGTATTCCTCTGAATGGCTCTTCAGAGCATATTTGTGGGTGCTTTCTCTCGGGAGCTGCAGCCTGGGGAGCCAACCTTGGGGAGTGTCTGTCTCACTTGTGTCTCCAGCTGTCACCACACTAGACGCGCTGTCATTCAGCCTTGACAGCTTGACTGTACTCTCAGCTACACGGAAGCAGCTATAGTAAGAGAGTAGTGTAGTCGTAGGTCTCATGTAACATCTGTGACAGCAGTTTTTGAAGGTAAATACGCTAGCCAAAATGTTCACAGGTAAACATACACGTCCATTTTTACTTTACTTCCGAGTTTCCCTGAGATCAGGCTGGAGTAGTTACACAGTAGTCGTTACACCGACGGGCTATTTTGAATGTGTGTCCTTGACTAGAAATAGTAGTCCTCTATCAGAGGGGAGGGGGGCTGTGGTGATACATTTCTGTTGTAAGGCTAGCTAGCACTATGCAGAATGACCAGATAGCACTTGCCAACGTGCAGCAGTCGTACGCCTTCACACACACAACTTCACACTGTGTCTGCGGGGTCTGCTGTTTTTGTTGTATGAAATTATCGTATAAAGAAGTTGGCAATCAAAGCCACTGCAAATGATCTAGAATGTACATATTGAATGTGGCTCAGGTGGTAGAGCAGGTTACCCTCCACAGTCCAAGTGTCCTCGGGCAAGACACTGAACCCGACGTTGCTCCCAGTGGCAGGCAGCACCTTGCATGGCAGCTCTGTCATGATTGGAGTATGAATGGGTGAATGAGAAACACATTGTAAAGCGCTATATAAGTGCAGACCATTGACCATTAATGTGCAATCAAACCACACACACACTAAACTGACAGAAGGACTCATGGTTAGAAGTTTTGACCCATCACCACATGGCGATATGACCCTTGAAAGTCACCAAAAATTACTTCTGTCACACAGAACAAGGAACTCAGGTGCAAACAAAAACCAATACAAATGTGTTTATTTACACATATGCATCTGAACAGGGAGGCATGGGAGCAAAACTCAACGATTTGAATCCCGAGGGTGAATTACTAACGAATTACCACAAAGCAAATAAAGACTAATTACAGGAATACTAGAGGGCTGCACTACCAAGCAAGCGAGCTCGACAAAAACTACAGCTGGAGGTGGTCATCATCTTTCTTTGTTAACTCTACGCATCATGCCACACTTCTTCAAAATTAAGCGATTGTGTGGCGCCTACTTCAGTCGGCAGGTTGACAACTTTTAAAGGTTTTCTCTGGTGAACTGTTAGAAAACAGAGAACACATCCAGGATACCAATATTTGTTTCTATTACTTTATGCCATAGACATTAAACGAGGGCAACTTTGTTATTGAAACTACGATCGATCCAATCACACTGATGCTCAAAGACGGCTATAGAAAAAACATTCCAGGCAAAAATGACATTTTGGTTTAAGGTTGTGACGCCTGGAGTGAATGTCACATTTTTTATGGCTTCACTGAATACACTAAAGTTAAAAAAAAAAGCTGATTCTGAGGGATTTAGGTGGAAAGATTGGAAGATTTTTCATGGAATGATCCAATTATGAATATGTTTTGTTTGTTTGTTCTGTTTGTGAAAAAGTGAACCAACAGTCTAAACCTCAGATGAGTGACATATTATTAGAAGCAGCGAAGTTTACGTTTTGAGATCCATTAAATGTTGCAGCTTCCGTGACTGAGCAGATTTTATCACAAAGGTCTGAATCTGTAAAGTAACTGGAGCAATCCTTAGTCACTTTGCATCAATCAGTTCTGAGTTTTAGAGCACAGACGCCGAGTCCAGACGGTTGGAAAATCTCACCAGCTGCTGAATGTCTGGACTCACGTAAGGGATCAACGGGTCGCCTGATCAGCTTAGAAAAAGGTCAGGCTATGAAAGCTGCTGGTGGTCTGTAATGAGCTGGTGAGGCCGACCTGTGACGGTGACTGACTGATGGCACATAACGAGGAACCTACACAATAAGGAACCGACACTAAGGGCTCAGTGGAGGCACAGACTTGTCCAGGTGGTAATAAAACAGTGTGGGATGCCTACCAAGCAGAGGCACAACCCCAATCCTAACAGAAATTCTTTCTTACACAGTCGATGGTACTCTCACTCAACATGACTCAGCGTTACAACGTGCCTGACTGGCTGTTTCATATCCAATTATAACGATGAGGTGGGAAGAAAGCCAGTGAGCCAACGAGCCGAATGACAGCGACCATGGACATGACTCAATCAAATGGTGAAGACAGCAGCAATACACCACAGCGCCAAGTGAGTTATTGATTTATAACTAGTTTTCTAACAGCACATCCTTGTTTGTGATACCTTTGATGAAACTTAACATTAACGACCAGTCCAGAAAAATATTTGCCAGCGAGAGACATATGCTAGTCCTTACTGTAGCTAACAGCTAATATTATGACAGAAACAGTGATTGAACCGATTTTTCCACCTGTCAGAACCGTCCAAAAAACATGACATTCATAACCTGACACTCTGATTAGATACAGGGCCTTGGTGCTGTTGAGTCAGCAGCAGGAAATCTGGTGTCTTTGCTCTTAAACACGATGGCCACAAACTGCTCAACACGGCCGACAAAGACAGACGAGTCAGCCCCCCGGTACCGAACTGTTAGCAGTTTAACGAGGTGACGCCGATGCAGAGATTTACTGTACACATTAAGACGTGTAAGGTAACACTGTCCTTTGATGGAAGGGCCGATGGGGTGGGAGTACAGCTGGTTTGGGGTTTTTTAAAGAGTAATTGTCTTAGACTCTACAAGACTTGATCCCAATGCTGCAGCAACTTATAAAGGACCTGGAACTGTGTGGCCTGCTGGCCCAGATGTCTGGAAACACTGAGGCTTGCTGCTCCCTGTTTGTTCCTGGGAGGATCATCAAAGTATTCATTTTAACTGCCACATTTTTTATTCGTATATTGTCCAACCGTTCAGTTCAACACTATAAACTAAATCTACACTCTTTTCGCGGATTTCATCATGATGAACTGCCAACCACAGTTTAGTTAAAAGATGACATCCAAGGAGAGAGCTGTGAGAAAGATAACCACATTTCTCCAAGATTTCTTACAGGAGAGGAAAATGTCAGGTACAATACACACTGTACAGCAGGGGTTCTCAACAGGGGGGCCACAGCCCATGAGGTGGCCACAGAGGGCTGCCAGGGGGCCCCTGAGATGGCTGTGAATGTTATGAAGAAAAATGTTACGAAGAAAAATATGTTCAGGACTGAGGCGTTGTCCACAGGTAGCAGGGTATCTCACAAAACAAAGATATTTTTCTACGATGTGGCTTCTCATCGACACGGAAACGCAGATTTACGGCATTAAGGCTTTAGGTTTCAAATCGTCACCACCTGCCACAAAATATGTTCTTTACATCACATACGCGACTTGTGTTTACATTTGGAAAAAGCGTGGACGCCCTCAAACCGTGTTGGCGTCGTCTCTTGTCCAGGTCCAGATACCGCTCCACGTACAAGAACACAGGCGAAGGACGACGTTCTCCCCGTGCAGCGTGGGTTCTCTCTGGGTTCTCCGGCTTCCTGCCACAGTCCACAAACATGCTGAGGTTAATTGGTGATTGTAAATTGTCCGTAGGTGTGAATGTGAGTGTGCTTGGTTGTCTGTCTCTAAGTGTAGCCCTGTGATAGACTGGTTACCTGTCCAGGTGAACCTGCCTTCACCCTGAGTCAGCTGGGATAGACTCCAGTGAGGATTAAGGTGTAGAGATGATGGATGGATGTAAGGTACAGCACTAGGCTATAATAACTGGCCTCAATGTTTACTTTATGACATAAAAAGAAATAATAGGAAGGTCCTAAATGTTTAGTTTAGCAACACAACAAACTTCTTACTGCATTTGGTGTGTATTTATTTTTTTGCTGACATGTCACTACTGCATCAAAAATATCAAAGA